CTACTTTTAGTTTTTTAAGGAACCTCTGTACTGTTCTCCATAGTAGCTGTATCAATTTACATTCTCACCAACAGTGCAAGAGGGTTCCCTTTTCTCCACACCCTCTCCAGCATATGTTGTTTGTAGATTTTCTGATGATGCCCATTCTAACTGGTGTGAGGTGATATCTCATTGTAGTTTTGATTTGCATTTCTCTAATAATTAGTGATGTTGAGCAGCTTTTCATGTGTTTCTTGGCCATCTGTATGTCTTCTTTGGAGAAATCTCTATTCAGGTCTTCTGCCCATTTTTGGATTAGGTTGTTTATTCTTTAATATTGAGCTGCATGAGCTATTTATATATTTGGAGGTTAATCCTTTGTCCATTGATTCATTTGCAAATATTTTCTTCCATTCTGAGGGTTGTCTTTTCATCTTGTTCGTAGTTTCCTTTGCTGTGCAAAAGCTTTTAAGTTTCATTAGGTCCCATTTGTTTATTTTTGTTTTTATTTCCATCACTCTAGGAGGTGAATCAAAAAAGTTCTTGCTGTGATTTATGTCAAAGAGTGTTCTTCCTATGTTTTCCTCTAAGAGTTTTATAGTGTCCAGTCTTACGTTTAGGTCTCTAATCCATTTTGAGTTTGTCTTTGTGTATGGTGTTAAGGAATGTTTTGATTGATTTTTTTTTTTTTTTCTTTGCGGTACGCGGGCCTCTCACTGCTGTGGCCTCTCCCGTTGTGGAGCACAGGCGCTGGATGCGCAGGCCCAGCGGCCATGGCTCACGGGCACAGCTGCTCTGCGGCATGTGGGATCTTTCCGGACCGGGGCAAGAACCCGTGTCCCCTGCATTGGCAGGCGGACTCTCAACGACTGCTCCACCGGGGAAGCCCTGTTTGTGTCATCTTTGATTTCTTTCATCAGCGTCTTATAGTTTTCTGAGTATAGGTCTTTTACCTCCTTAAGTAGGTTTATTCCTAGGTATTTTATTCTTTTTGTTGCAGTGGTGAATGGAATAGGATTGTTTCCTTAATTTCTCTTTCTGATCTTTCATTGTTAGTGTATAGGAATGCAAGGTATTTCTGTGCATTAATTTTGTATCCTGCAACTTTACCAAAGTCACTGATCAGCTCTAGTAGTTTTCTGGTAGAATCTTATCTATGTAATCCCAACTGCATCCCTGGACAAGAAACCTAACCCATCTGAGCCTCATCTGTAGATGGGGATATTAATGGTACCTCCCCTGAAGGTGTGTTTGAAGATTAACTGAGCTAATACCCGTAAAGTGCTTAGCACAGAGCTGGATACACAGTGAGAGTTTCGTCAAGGTTCACTTTTTTTTAATAAATTTATTTATTTTTGGCTGCATTGGGTCTTCGTTGCTGCACGTGGGCTTTCTCTAGTTGTGGTGAGCTGGGGCTACTCTTCGTTGCGGTGCGCAGGCTTATCATTGCGGTGGCTTCTCTTGCTGCGGAGCACGGGCTCTAGGCACGTGGGCTTCAGTAGTTGTGGCGCACAGGCTTAGGTGCTCCGCGGCTGTGGGATCCTCCCGGACCAGGGCCCGAACCCGTGTCCCCTGCATTGGCAGGCAGATTCCCAACCACTGTGCCACGAGGGAAGCCCAAGGTTCACTTTTATTTAATATTGTTATTACCTTTGCACTTCCCTCTGGAGAATCTCAAGGTAGAGCAAATTTCCCCAGAAACTACCTTGCGGTAGAACGAATATTGGCTTTGAAACTGGAACACTTGGGTTCAACTCCTGCCACAATATATGTTCTTCCTCACTGTGACCTTAATTCTTCTGAGCCTCAGTTTCCTCACTGTACAATGGAGCACAAATACCCACTTCACAGACTTATGAAGACCAAAGCAAATGAGATAAATGAGATAAAAGACCAAAGCAAATACAAGAAAATGTTTTCTAAAGTGCAACCGCATTCTGCTAATGTATGGAATTATAATTATTAACCCAGCAAAGAGTGTTCTGTGGCAAGCACTTTTCTGGTGATTTTCCTTCCTGCTCTCTTGTTGACTCAGTACATGTCAATAGATGACTCCATTTTAAGCTAAATGTCCCTTGCCCAAGCTAATTGCTAATTTAGACTTAAACTGTTCCCAACTCACGATTAGAATTCAAACCTTGGAACTCCATTAGGGATGCATAATGCTACATTTTCCTTCGCTGAAATTAGTCAGCTGCAAATGATTAAATTACTATATATAGTGTGAAACACAACAAAGCTGTAATTTTTATATAAATTCCAGAATGTTACATTATTTCCCTTCAGCACTGACATCAGAATAATTCCTCCACAATCATTGCTTTGTCTTCTGTAAAATAAAATTTTAAAAACCCATTGCTTTTCAAGCGTACCAGGGTCTGCATTCAATATTTAATGTGATTAATGTTTACTGTATTTGTTGTGGGGTTGTCTGTTAATTGTGGCGTTAAGCCGCACCCCCTTCATCATCTTTGGGGGCTGAGGGATGTTGGTTCAGAACCACTGTTTGAGGAAAGTATCAATTAAAATTCAGCTCCGTTGAGCACATGCATCTTTCTCGTTGTTTGTTTGTGGTGCCCGGCATATCTGGTGGCAACACTCTCCCCCTCTCCCCCTCTCCTCGCTGCAGGAACAGATTGAGATTCTAGGCAACTTCTCAGTGAGCATGTAGCCTGTGGGGAAGCCCCAGGCTTGCTCAGCAAGCATGCGGGGCCAGGGAATCTTGCTTGCAATCCCAACAGTGCGCTTCTCTGGCAAAACCCTCCACCGCTGGAATGAGACAGGTGATTAAAGGAAGGTCTGGATGTACGTGAGGCAAGCAAGGCATCCCAGGGCTAAATCTGAGAAGGCAGCCAGTGCGCGTACATGACCCGGGGAGCCACTTCAGACTCCTTAAATTTTGTGTCCCAGCCACCTCCCTCTTAAGGACCACGCCTCCTTACATATTGCACCCCAGGCACCGCACTCGCATCCCACTCCGATTAAGAGGACCTAGTTGAGAGTCGGGGAACCTGAATGGCAACGCAGCGTGCCCTGGCATCACCGTGATGGACCTCGGAGCTGCCTCTTAACCTCTCTGGGGCTTTGCTTTCTTATCTGTAAAATAGGGATGATCATGTCTGCTGGGCAGATTTAGGATTGAGACAGTGCTTTGTCAACTGGAGGATGCCCTCCAAACATCACGAGTAGCGGGCATTTCTCTGGCTAGCCTCCCCACTGCCGCAGGTCCTCTGGTTTCTGCCTCAAATCCCCTACAGCTTTTGTGGGGGAAGCCCTAGGCAAAATCTTGAAAATGCTGCCAGCCAAGGACTCTCAGCCCCCAGATGGCTTCCAAAGCCCAGAGAAGGTGTCTCCACGGTTGCTGCTGCCCACAGCTCCTTCCAGATGGTGAGGTTCCATTCTCCTGCTGGCTTTAAGTCCCAGTTGTGCCAGCTCTTCCCGGGCCACCGCAGTGGTGGAGTGATCTCTTCTCTCGCCCCCCATCCTTGTCAATTCCGAAGGACAACTGCCTTGCTCTCCCAGGGTCTCTCAAAGAATATGTGGACAAACTTCTCTTGGTAGCCTTGTTCCCTCTGGAGACCATACACATGACCAGGAAGGCTGGTTTCCAAGTCTTCTCTCTCAGAGCTCTCATTCCTTCCCCTTATCTCCCTCGCCTCTGTTGAAACTTGCCCCCAGATACATGATCACTGCTTTCCACCCAAAGCCTGAGTTCCACACTTACACTTGGCCTCACTGAGTACTGACTGGGTACCCTCTGTTTTGGGGGTACACAGAGCCTGTCATGCTCCCCACCCCAAGAGCTCACAACCCATGGGATATTCCTCACCAAGACCACCTCAGAAATTCCTCTCCGCATTAACGGATTCTCCTTTCATCCTTACTGGGAATAGGCTTCCTCCCAGACTGCCAGCAGCTAGAAGGTGGGGATCCCAAATATTTTAGCCTCCATCAGCTACAGAAGAATAAGGACCGACCTTGTGCCATTTTGATATCGATTTGTCCTTTCAGAATTGGGAAGAGATTTCTTCTTAAATGGTTCATACATTCCCCACTGATTTCTTTTGCCAAAGGAGGCATATTTATAAACAGGCTGCCCAATTTGGCCAATGGGAAAAGGGATGCTCAGATGAGGGTGGGATTGAACATTACACCTTGACCTAGAATTGATGCTCAGCCAGGGTGCACCAGCATGTCCACACAGGTTATTAGCATGCTGAAATACTTCTGTAGCAGCTGGTCAATAGCCACCTCCAAAAGCCCCTCTGCATCCCTGCTGCCCAGGCCCTCTGGGTCCCCTGGATTTCCCTACAATCCAACAGAAGGGGCCCGGCCCCCCAGGGGTTCTTTAGACCTCTGCTCCAGCACTGGGGCCAGGGCTCTTTTCCATTGGCCGGTGCTCCTGCCATGCTGGCTGTTAACTGGTCTGAATATCATGCCAACCCTAGCAGCTAGCTAATCACGCAGCTGTCCCCCAGATAGCCACTTCAAAACCTGTGACAAGAAAAGCATTGGGTTGTTTAGGACCTGTGCAGAAGAGGAGAGGCAGCACCTGTGGAGTGTGGAGTTCCGGAGTTTGGGGGTACCTTGGAGCCTAGGCCTGCTTGCTCAGTCTTCATGCCCTCCTGCAGTTCCTCTGGCATCCGGGCTGAGACCAGAACGTCCCACCAATGAGAGCTGTTCTGAGACATGACTCAGTATTTGTGGGGCAACACTCAAGGAAATATAGCCACTTCAAATTTATCCTGGTTTACCATGCAGACTACTTGTGGGGAGAGAGAACATTTTTTGCCTCCTGCCAAAACAAAAATCCTTTGTGTGGGTCAAGAGGTCTTACCCTGACCCTGTAGCTTCAAGATAATACTGACCTCTCTAAAGAATATATTTTCATTTTCGGCATTTGAGAAATCCATGTGCAACACTATCGGGAAAGAAGGTATGGTACATATATACCATGGAATATTACTCAGCCGTAAAAAAGAATGAAATAATGCCATTTGCGGCAACATGGATGGACCTAGAGATTGTCATACTGAGTGAAGTTCTAACTAAAGTCCAAACGTGTGGTATAAACCCAGTGGACACATATATTCACTCTGGTACTTACAGTAGAAAACCACTTCTACCCTATACTCCTGGCTTAGATGTGGCTGGGATAATAGAATCTGTTGGAGGGAGTGTATCTGCTTTCAAGAAAGGCGACAGAGTTTTCACTACCAGCACGATCTCTGGGGGCTACACAGAGCATGCTCTGGCAGCCAATTACACTGTTTACACACTGCCGTAAAAACCGGACTTGAAACAAGGAGCTGCCGTCGGGATCCTGTATTTTACTGCACATCGAGCTCTGCTCCCCAGTGCCCATGTGATAGCTGGAGAAAGTGTTCTGGTTCACGGGGCCGGTGGAGGGATTGGAATAGCAGCATGCCAGATTGCTAGAGCTTATGGCTTAAAGGTTTGGGCACAGCTGGTACTGAGGAAGGACAAAAGATTGTTTTGCAGAATGGAGCCCACGACGTGTTTAATCACAAAGGAGCTAATTACATTGATAAAATTAAGAAATCTGTTGGTGAAAAAGGAGTTGATATGATTACTGAAATGTTAGCTAATGTAAATCTTAGCAATGGTTTGAATCTTTTGTCACATGGAGGATGAGTAATAGTTGTTGGCAGCAGAGGTCCTATTGAAGTAAACCCACGGGACACTATGGCAAAGGAATCTAGCATAATAAGAGTTGCTCTCTATTCATCCACCAAGGAGGAATTTCAGCAGTTTGCAGCAGTCCTTCAAGCTGGAATGGAAGTTGGTTGGTTGAGATCAGTAATTGGTCCCCAGGATCCATTGGAGAAGGTGGCCCAGGCTCATGAAGGTATCATTCATAGCAGTGGGGCTGTTGGAAAAATGATTCTTCTCTTAAAATGATTAATCCTTCCACAGATCTCCTGCATAATTAAAGTTTCTTACCTCAGTTTTACATATACCAAAAAGAAAAGAAAAAAGCTTTGGGTTATACTTTGAAACATACTAAACATCTTTAAAAAATTATTTCAGTGACAAAAGTCTCGTTACTAGACAAGATGAAATTTCCCCTGAGTGGACAAACTCTAGTTTAGCAATCTCAAACTGCCCCTTTATCCTCATGCTTTCAGAAAATAATCACAGCCAACAACTACTGAGTACCATGCAATGCCAGGCGCTGTTCTAAGTGCTCTGCGTGCAGGGTCTCACTGAATCCCCTCTGCAACACTGTGACTTGTAGGCATTTTTATTATCATTTAACAGGTGGACTCTAAGATTCAGAGTTTAGGTAATTTGTTCAAAGTATCACACTAGAAAGTGGCAGGGCTGGGACCCAAACCCAGGCTGAGTGACTCCAAAGCTCTTAAACTTGAAGCTAAATTACTTGGTATATACTCTCATACGTGTTAGTTATCTTCTTGCTGTTGTTATATAATCTTCACTATTCTAGCGCCCTTAGGAATGCCTCTGTGTGTGTGTGTGTGCGTGTGTGCGTGAGAGAGAGAGAAAGAGAGAGAGAGAATGAGAGAGAACAGGAATGGACATCTGTGTGGTGATGTTGCATATACACATACAGTTATTGCCAGGTCCCTGTTCCCCATCATTTTATGTGGTTCCTTCTGATTGCCTGGGTTGTCTAAGATTGAAAGCTACTCTATGTCAAGGGCTTTGATTCACTTACTCAGAACCCATATGGGTGCCACATGAAAGCCAGTCCTCTGTTAAGGCCACAATAGTAATAAGACCTCTGTTAAGTACCACAATAGAGGAATAAGAATCAGTAAGTGAAAACTTCTGGGACCGGGCAGGAGGAGCCTGCTAGCTCTGTCCCTAACTCTGTTCCTCCTTCCCTCCCTCCCTTCCTTCTTTTTCTCCAAGTCAACACCAAGAAGGGCACTGGAGGCCTGTGAGAAATAGCAGTGAGGGCCCAGAACATTCCATGTCTCCAGACCTGTGTGCATCTTTGTGGGTCTGGGTGGAATGGGGACCCATTTTGGTGGACTCTGATAGCTTTTTTAAACCCTGAATTCCATTCAGAGTAGTTTTCTTGGGGATATACAATTTAAGATGTGAAACAAAAGTCAAAAAGATGAAGTGGATCTGTTTCCTCTAAGGACGGTTCCCCTTCCAGACCAGGCAAAGGCCGTGCCCCGGCTGTAACCCATTCATTCGCCTGGGGGTGTCCAGGCCTGGAGAGACTCTATCCCCTTTAATATCTGGAGGCTGGTTAGTCAGGGTGCCAGGCTCCCTGCCCTCGCACCCCCATGACTGACAGTGGTCTAAAATGTCCATCATCTTTTTGCACAAGGTTTGCTGCTCATTAAAAAAAATCACCTTTCTTGTGGACAAGAAAATTACCTTTTTTTTTTTTCACCTTTGAGCTCAAAATCTCACTTATATCAGGGCTTGGAAGAGCTGAAAATCCAGTCCAATCCAGAAATGCCCAATAAAAAGACTAATTTGAATTTTGCCCCAGACCAAATTATGGGGAGGAAGTAAGCGGAGGGAGGGACCTAGAGTCTGTCATTGCATTTCTAATTACATTCTTTCTCCTAGTGTGGGAAGAATGGAACCCTGGGCCAGGGATCTGAGTGCAGGCAGCCCCTGTGTCTGGGTGGTTTCTTCCAAGTGCCCCTCCCCACCAGGCAACAATGCCCTCTGCTTCATGGACACCCGGGGCCAGGACCTAGCAGCAAAGCATCTGAAACTGTTAAACTGGAGAGAAACCCAGCCAGAAGTTGACATCGCCTTTGCGCCACCTGCTGGAAGTTTGGAAAAAGACTCTGAAATTCATGGTTTGGCTGTTAACTAGTGACTTCACAATCCTAATGATTATTTGTAATAATTCCCATTTCGTCTTATTACACAGTTACACAGGTTTTTGAAGACAATTTAAGAGGTTCATACAATTAAAACAAAACATAAAAATCACCCACAATCCTGTCACCCAGAGATTACCATCATGTATATTTTGTTGGCTTTCCTTCCATCCTTCCTGTCGTTTTTCTACTTAGATATATGCAAATTCATATACACTATTAGTCTCATTCAGTACACATTATTCTATAGCCTAATTTTTAGGATTAACAATATGTCTTCAATATTTTTGCATGTCATTAATTATAATCTGCAACATGACTTTTGCTTAGCAGTTTTTTATATCCTTATATCATAATTCTAGGTCCTCTTCCGGTGTATTAATTACAATGTGGTTTATGCTTTGAGTTTTTACTAAATCTAATTTCCCCCCTCCCTTTTCTCCCCTTCTTTCTTTCTCCTTCATTCCTCCTTTCTTTCCTTCCAGGTTTTTGTCTTTACTTCTTTCTTTCTTTTCCCTCCAATAGAAGAGGTCCACAGCAGATGTTGTTTGGGGCAATTCTTTGCAGTATCTCTGGCCTCCCTCATTCCTTCATATAAGGGGATCCAGAGACTTCCTACTGAACCCTGGATCTGTCCTCTGGGTGGGCTCTGCCGTCCCTGCCTTGGAAGACAGGACACTATAAACTCTGAACTGAGGTGGGCAAGAAAGATGGGATCCCAACCTAGTGCCTCCTGCAGTGTCTAGAAAAAAACCCGAAAACTAACAATTACTGATCACTTACTCTGTGCCAGCCAGGCTCCATCATAAGAACATTACATGAATTATCGCAGGCAGTCATAAAACCCTTCTGAGATAGAGTACCTCTCCTTCCTTCTTTCCATTCACTGGACAGCTGAGGACACCAAGCTTGAGAAAAGCAAATGAAAGCGCACCAGCTATTAGTCCCAAACCTCAGTGTGCTGTGATTGTCTATTAAAAGGAAGCAAAACAAAAAAGATTTCCAAATTCTCTTTGAAAAGTTCGAACATCAGGTAATGTGGGTTTTGTTTCCCCACAGCAATAATCAGCTCAAGCAGAGTCGTGGTGTCCATACCAGATTAGCATGGACTGTTCAGTTGGACCATCTCCACCTTTCGTGTATTCCCCCTACAACAGAGGACGGATATCTACTGCCAACAATACTGTGGGGTGGGCTGGCTTCACCTAACAGAACAAGGGAACTTACAAAAAGACAACCATAGGCTCAGGGTTTATAATTCCTGGCTCTCTCTGTCTGAGAAGCAGGCTGTACCTCTGGCTTCCCTGATACAACCTCTTATCTCTCCCATCCATGAGTATGGGGATGGATTTTGAGGGTGCTAGAGCAGGAAAGGAGGAGCATAATTATAGACTAGAGTGAAATAGTTGCTAGGGGTCCACTGGAATAAGTGCACCACATGGACACATGTGGGTGGTTGCATTAGATTGGTTGGTTGACTGAAACCAGAAATCAATAGTGACTTGTACGAAATGAAGTTGATATAATATTGAACAGGCATTGGCAAACTTTTTCTGTAAAGGGACAGGCAAGTAAAAGTTTTAGGCTTTGCAGACCATACGGTCTCTGTCGTAGTCACTCAACTCTGCTGTGGCAGCGCTATAGCAGCCATAGACCGCTGCTCTATGTAAATGAACAGGCGTTGGCTGTGTTCCAACACAACTTTATTTACAAAAAAAATGGTAGCTTTCTTTACAGAAGCAGGCCATAGTTTGCTGACCCCAATAAAGAAGGGATACAAAGGCTTAGGAACAGGAGCGTTAGAGTGGCTTTCTCCTTTGCGAGCCATGCACTGGTTAAACTAGGTGGATTCTATTTTCCAGAGTAGATTCACCTGTACATCATTTCTCTACTTTCAGTGACTTTTGAAAATGGTCAACATAAGACTTCTCCCTGGAAATGTCTTGGGATTGGTGATGTGAATGCAGATTTGGATTCTCTGACCTGGGTTATTTTCTAAGCTGTGTGAGTGATTGGATTCCCAGAGGATCAGAATTCTCTCTGGGTCTCCACATTTATTAGGCTGATTGAGCCAGTGGAAGCAGAATCACCCCCAGAAGGATTGTGCCTGTTGGGTACCACTGTCCTCCAAATGCTTCCCACGAGGGCCTGGCTGAACAATGTCATTTTAACACAGCAATTTCCAGGCATTAAGTCAGGTGAGAGGGAGGTAAAAAAAAAAAATGGGGGCTTCCCTGGTGGTGCAGTGGTTAAGAATCCGCCTGCCAATGCAGGGGACACGGGTTCGAGCCCTGGTCTGGGAGGATCCCACATCCCGCAGAGCAACTAAGCCCGTGCACCACAACTACTGAGCCTGTGCTCTGGAACCCACGAGCCACAACTATTGAAGTCTGTGCACCTAGAACCTGTGCTCCGCAACAAGAGAAGCCAACGCAATGAGAAGCCCATGCACCGCAATGAAGAGTAGCCCAGGCTCACCGCCACTGGAGAGAGCCCGCGTGCAGCAACAAAGACCCAACACAGCCAAAAATAAAATAAATAAAATAAATAAAATTTTAAAAAATGGTTCAAATGGAAAAAAAAAAAAAAAGACTTAAAAATGCAGAAGCCTGAGAAGCTGAGGCACCTCCCATAAGTCTGGAGACTCCAGATTCAGGGGTTAGGCTCAGAAGATGAGAAAGTGGATGAGAAGAAGGCCAGCCAGAGATATAAAGACATCAGGAGGGGACCCTGTGTCTGTGTTTTACGTGGTGTATCTGGTGGTGTGTGTGGGGTGTAGAGAAGAGAGGGGAAAAGGCTCTTACATGCTAGCTTAGTATAGGTAGACAAAATTCTGTAAAGTTAGAGAAGAAGAGGACTTAGGAATCCAGGAATCCCCTCTATTACAGGGAACTCCCCCTTTTCTGCCTGTGGAAGACACAGCTAGATGATTATGGCGTTCATTTCCAGTGAGCACTGAAGTGGTCTCATATCCTTGTCAACACAGCACTCCAGGCAGCCTTCCGCAATCTGTCAGGGTCAGAACTTAATAATAATAACAATAATTATAGCTAATAGTTATAGAGCATCTGTTATGTCTCAGGC